GCGGGGCCGGCCGGGCTGACTGCGAGGCCGCGGCGGCGGCCGAGTAGCCCGGGAGGCGGCGGCGAGGCCGCTCCACCGCACACGCACATACACAGACCCCGGCAGCGGGAATGCAGATGACACGCCCGTAACATGGAAGCGCCGCCGCCGCCGCCGCAACGACGACAGCAGCAGCCACTGCAGCAGCAGCAGCCGCCGGCGGCGCCGCGCTGAACAAAGGTCATCCGAGCTGCGGCCCAGACGCCGGGCTTGACCGCTGCGAAGGCCAACCCGGGGCAGGGGGTGGGTGTGCGCCTCCGGGGCCGGGCGGGGGGCCGGGGTGACCGGGCGAGAGGGCGCAGGGCAGCGGGGGAAGGGGGCGGCGGGCTCGGCAGCGAGTTGGGGCGCGGCCCCTCGTGCCCACCCTTGCGGCCCGGGATTTGCGCATGAGGCTCAGGCCCCTCGGCTTGCCTGCAGTGGCCTGGCCCAGCCGTGCTTGGGGACAGCTGGCCTTCGCGCCCTGCCAGTTTCACTGGGGGGGCCGAGGACGAGCCGGTTCTGCTAGGCCCACAGGTTCAGAAAGGGGGGCACGTGAGCGCTGGAGCTGGCCTCCTCCCCCTGCAGTGCTGGCGGGGCGCAGAGGGTGTGCCAAAGGCCTCTGGGAGCCTGCTCCTCTGTCCCCTGATTTGCCCCCACCTCACCCATCCCGACATGCCCTGGTCTCCTCCCTGAGGTGAAGGGATTTGGGCTTCTCCCCCCAGGTGCTTGAAAGAAGAGAAGGTGGGAGGAGGAGGAGACTGGGGGGCTTGCTGCTGGTGGTGACAGGACTGGGAGCGAGAGGAGAGGGACGGCTGGGAGGAGGGGGCTGGGTGGGGTGGGGGTGACAGGCTCTGAGAGGAGCCTGGTCAACACCCAGCACCACTCTGCTAGGAGGCCAGGCCGGCTCCTGAAGCCGGGCGCATCCGTGGTGGAGACACACGTAGATTCCTTCCTGGGGGCTCATTGTCAGCCACCAAGCCAGGGAACACACACTGACACACAGGTACACAAAGATCTGAGCCAGGTTGTGGGAGGTAAGTGGGGGAGGGAGGAGGAGGGGAAGACAGTGTCTGCGGTGGGCTTGGGGGTGGAGGGGTGGGGGTGATGGGCCTGAGGGGCCCTGGGGTGCTTGTGAGGTGAGCATTTTTCCATATTGTGTGCTGGTGGGGTGGGGTGGGGAAACACACGATGGCCTTCCCCTCCTCATGAAGCCCCTAAAAGGGTAAGCAACCCCTATGGAGATCCCCCTGTGCTGATGATTTTCAGGGACTTGTTGGCAACTCAGGGAGGGTTGCCATAGCTTTTTTATGTAGGGTGACCAGAACCGGCTGAAACTGGTTTGAGGCAGATCAGCTCCTGAACACAATGCAGTCACTGAGCTCCTACAGTGGGATAGCAGCTTCCTCCCTTCATGGCAGCCAAAAGCAGAGGAGCTTTGCAGGAAGGGACCATCCCAACACAGTATGTGAACGCACACTTAGACACCACACAGCACTGGTACGTGACGAATGGAGCCCTAAGGTTCTGGGTAGAAGAGAGGGAAGAAATGTGCAGGTTTGCAGGGTCTGAGCTGACTTGGGCTTTTCCTGCCTTTTTCTTTTGCTTAAGGGATGGACAAGGGAGCTGAGATTTATGACCCTTATTACAGGAAAAAAAAATGTGCCTGGCCAGGGTGGGGACACTTGGTTGATGCAGTCTGTCTTTCTCTTGTGTTTGTAACAAAACCAAACCAAAATGAACAGAGGGGTTTGGAATGGTAGTTTTGTTTGTTGCTGGAGAATGCTACTTTGCATGCTTTTCTTCTTTTGCAGGGTTTGTACTCTTTTGTGCTTTTCCTTTTAGAAGCGAAAAAAGGGTGTTGGGGAGACTTCTGACTATGTGAAGGCCAAAAGGTAACAGTATTGTTCTAGGAAATGAACATAAAAATACATTTCAGGGATGCTGTAAGGCATACATGCTCTTTTCTTTTCTTTTTTTTTTCCTTCCTTGTAGGCCTGTTGACTGGGGCTGCTTTTAACCCTTTCGTGTTGGCAGAGAATGCACCCGTGTGACAGTAACTGAACATTGGTCACAAGTCTTTCCAAAAGGTCAAGGTTCACAAGGTGAGATAATGCTATTTTGAGCATGACTTTAAATATTTATTTGCAGATACATTCAGACCAGAGACTTGATGGTTGGTTGGTACCCGGAACTAAGAGTGGGAGCAGAAATGCTCTGAACGTTGCCCAGGTTTAGTGGCATGAGAGTGACTTTACGATGGTATTGCTACCAAGGTGAAATCCGAATGACTTCATGAAATTGCATGTGTCTAGGCGTTTAGAAGAGACAGGCCTGGGAAGAAGCAGATTTAGAGTAGTGCCAGGGCCTGGTGAAGAATGCACTATTTTGCATAAGACTCAGCTTGCACACATGGTTACAGGAGAGGGAAAGACTTTCAACCAAGCCAGGCAGTCTGGCCACCTTTTTGGATTTGAGGAGTCTGAAGGTGGATTGACCTTTTGTTCATGCCTCACCTCTCTTGTACCTTGCTCTCTTGTGTTAACCTGAGAGGCTTTTCCCTCAGACTCAAGGGGTGGAATGTCTTAGATTGATTCTGTGGGTTGTGGATGGTGAGTTAGCCATCGGGTTATTTGTGGCATACATTTTAATGTGGAAGATGAAGGCGAATCCAGGAGGAAGCCGGGTGGTCTGGCTTCCGCTGTGAAAGCAAGATGCCTATTGGAAACTCAGAGCTGTATAGGAATGGGAAATAGGGGCTGTGTCCTGCCTTGGAACGTCTGCACTGAGATCGGCATTGGCATTTTTCATGTACCCTCCAAAAGCAGAGATTGGAGAGGAGAGGAGAGGAGAGAACAGTGAGGTATGTGCAGCAGAGTGAAGAACAAAGGCTGGTGGGGCTTACAGGGGAACACTAAACATTTTGCCTTGGGGTTCCTGTAACTTCCCCAAACAGGAAACCAGCAGCTCCAGAACTGGAGCCAGTGTGATCGCAACCACAGATAGAAGCAGTCTGTCTTTCTGCTGGCTTGGTTAAAGGACAGTCCAGAGGAGCCCAGAGAAGAAATGATGGGAAAAGATATTCCTCCTTTACTTTGAAGTGGGTATTTTGTCCTCTCTTCCTGGTCAGCAGGATGGAATCTCTCAGAAGTGCCGAGGACCTCAGATTTTGCTAAGCTGTGTGCTGGCAGCTGGTGGGCAGAATGTCTGCAGTGATGGGTGTCAAGTATGCCAGGGTTTTTATTGTTGAAAGGGTTTTTCATTCAACTGCAGAACATACTCTCAGAGATAAAATGGGCAAAAGGGCAACGCTTGGGTATCGCAAAATACTTTTTGTTGTTTTTAAAAGAGAGAAACGTAGCCTTTGGACTAATAACACCAGTAAGTGGGTTGCACGATGGAACAAAAATGCTTTGCGAATCATGGTGCTAAAGATTGGTTTTCAGTTCTACATCGTTTTGCCTGCCAGAGGTTCTGTCTCTGACTGAGGCAGAAATGTGCTTGCAAAGCAGCCCCGGATCCATCTTGTGTGCCGGTTGTTTCTGCTCCTCTCCTCGGTGCCAACTACAACTCAGATGGCTAATATGATAAACCTTAATTAGCTAATACAATAGCTGGTTTATAATTTGGTCGTTTACTCCTGTCTTTAAAAAGTCAGTTGTTGTTTATTTCACAGTGCACCCTTTGCAATTTCTCAGCCACTGTGTTTTAAATACCTTTTTGGAAGGTGTTGCACAGCAGAGAATGTTCTGGTAACCGCACTCACTTGGTTGGTGGTTTTTAGCTCTGTGGCTCCCCTCCCTCTGGGAAGACACCTGGAAAATAGCATGTGTTTTGCTTGTGTGGGTCTGTCTGTCTGTAAATGCTGTTTCTTCAGGGCAGCAATCCTGAGCTCATCTTGGATTGAGACTTGTCTCAGGTGTTCATCCTCCCGAGGAGGAGATAAAACACTGTAGCAGGCCCAGTTCTCTGGGTGAGGAGTTCCGTGTGCAGAAAAACCAACAGCATGTTCCTGCCTGGGAGGACGCACCCCCAGTTGGGGCCTGCTGGGCAGCTCCACTGAGCCTGTCTCCCAGGACGACATGCTGGGCCTTCCCCTTGCTGGAGGAATGTGCTGGTTTGGCTCAGAATTGTGCGCTGGAAAGAAAGTGTCACTGGGGTGTTGTGCCCTTGCTTGTGTTATCATTTGCCTAGTCAGGGTGTCGTTTTTTCCATGGGAAACCACTTTGGAGCCTGATAGGGTACAGGAGGACTCTTGCCCCCATACCTTTTGTCTGAGATTCCCCGTCCCTCACCCACCAGGATGTGTTTTTAAGAAGATTCTAGAAAAGGGACTCTGGTAGCTCAGTGGGTTAGGTGGTGGGCTGCTAAACACAGGGTTGGTAACCTAAAGGTTGGAATTTCGAACCCACTAGCTGCTCTGTGGGAGAACTATGTAGCAGTCTGCTCCCATAAAGGTTTACAGTCTCCGAAACCCTCATAGGCAGTTCTACACTATCCTATAGGGTCCCGATGAGCAGCAGCAGATTTGATTTTGAGTTTTAGGACTTAGGACAGAAAGGTTGACAGTTCATACCACCCAGAGGTGCCTTGGAAGAAAGGCCTGGTGATCTGCTCCCAAAAGGTTACTTACTGCCTTGAAAAAAAAGTCTATGGAGCACAGTTCTACTCTGCAACACACGGGGTTCCTATGGGTTGGAATTGACTTGAGGGCAACTGGTTCATTTGGTTTAGGAAGGAGGAAGCCAACAAGTAAGTGGCATTTTCTGCTTATACCTTTGCCCAGGTTAGTTAAGGAGCACTGATAGGTCTATAGAATAAGCACTGGACTGCTAACCACAAGGTCAGAAGTTTAAACACACCAGCTGCTCTTTGGGAGAAAGGTGAGGCTTTCTGCTTCCTGTAAAGATTTACAACGTTGGAAATCCTGCGCAAGGTCGCAATGAATCGGAACTCAACCGGACAGCATATAAACGCTAGGCTAAGGTATAATTTTAAGGAGACTTGCGGCGCTGTAGGATAAGCACTGGACTGCTAACTGCAGGGTTGGTGGTTCAACCTCACCTGCTGATTCGTGGGAGAAAGATGAGGCTGTCTGCTCCTGTGAAGATTTCCACCCTTGGAAGCCCTATCCAGGGAGGGCAGCTATGGATGGGAACCAGCTTGATGGCACTGGGTGGCGATAGTTGTGGCCCACTGCTTAGTGGTTAGCAGCTAACCAAAAGTTTGGTGCTTTGAACCACTTATGGCTCAGCAGGAGAAAAGAGCTGGCGGGCTGCTCTTGTGAAGAGGGTAGCTGAGGAAATCCTCTGGGAAGTTCTCCTCTGGCATGTAGGCTGGCTCTGAGTTGCAAATGACTTGAGGACATAGAACAGTAGCAGTTAGAATTTCAGAATTTGTGTTCTCTCGTCCTCCTTTATTTCTTCCTTTGGTCTGCTTTCTTGGCCGGGGCTGTGGAATACAATCAGTCTTCAGTTGGTTTTGAATAACCTACCGGTATCCTTGGTAGAAGGAGCTCTGGTAGTGTAGTGGTTACGAATCATGCTGCTAACCTCAAGGTCGACAGTTCGAAACTACCTGCTGTTCCTCAGGAGAAAGACGAGGTTTTCTGTTCCAGTAAAGATTTACAGCTTCGGAAACCCTGTGCAGGGTCACAGTGAGTTGGAACCGACTCCATGGTACTTAACAACATCATCAACATCTTTGTTAGACCTGTTCTGTCTGCTCACAGCCTGAGGTTGCCCAGATGTGGGACCCCAGAAAGACTGCCAGTAGAAGGGAAAGTAGACACTGAGGTCTCTTGAAAAGATTGGGGCTTGACTCTTTACAGTTTCCCCTCACTTGTGTTCCTAATCCCAGTATTTTGCAAACAATAACTACAATGACAGCTCCTGCTATAATTACCATGAAAGAAACCTTGTTGTTGTTGTTATGTGCCATGGAGTCTTCCGACTCATAGCGACCCTGTACAGGGTTTCCGAGGCTGTAAATCTTTACGGGAGTAGACTGCCTCATCTTTCTCCCGCGGACCACTGGTAGTTTCGAACTGCTGACCTTGCGGCTCGCAGCCCTATTCATAACCACACCACTATGCTACCAGAGTTCCTTGAAAGAAACCTACACCTGTGTAAATTATATTTTGGGGATAGTATTGAACCAAGTCATGGTTATAGAATTAACATTTTAACTTTAAAATGTACATATAGTACAATTTACTTTTTGGCTTACAAAGCAATGGGGTTTGACAGACACACAGAATCATCTATCTGTGAAGAGCCCTGGTGGTGCCATGGTTAAGCGCTTGGCTGCAAAACAAAAAGTTGGCAGTTTGAACCCGCAGCTACTCCATGGGAGAAAGGTGGCAGTCTGCTCCCATAAGGTTTCTAGTTTAGGAAACCCTATGGGGCTATCAGCCACCATCAACACACAGGATAGTTCTGTAGAGTCTCTGGATGGTGCTATCTATTGGAATGTATCTGGAGACATGTTGGAAGCATGGCCTGGTGATCAGCTTCTGAAAGATGACAGCCATTTGAAGACCCTATGGAATGCAGTCCTGCTGAGAAGCACCAGGAATTGGAGTCAACTTGATGGCAGCTGGCATGGTTCTTTTCATTTCTCACCCCAGTCCTCGTCCTCCTTTTGGTCCTTCTGGTCTGATGACTCCTCTCATCCCAGCCCTGGTAACTGCTGGTTTGTTCTCTGTCTCTGTAGCTTGGGTCTTTTTCAGAAAGTGTTCTACAGATGACTTTTGTCGCAAAGGAAAATGTGTTTGTGATTCATCCATATTGTTGTGTGTGTTGATGCCTTTTTTTTTTTTTTTTAAATTGCTGAATAGTTTTCCATTGTCTGGATGGATGTACCACAGTTTGTTTATCCATTCACTGGTTGAAGGCCATTGTTTCTACTTTTTGGCGGCTGTGAGTAAAGCTGCTAAAAAACAGTTTTTTTTTGTTTTTTGTTTATAGGCACCAAATTTTTATTTCTGGTAAATACTTAGAAATGGGATGGCTGGGTCCTATGGTAATAAGTGTGTAAGAATTAAGAATTTGAATGAAAATGAATTCCACTCATAGCTCACAAGAAAGATTTTGCCTTGTCAGCT